TCTGTGAGGAGTCGTTTGACCCCTCACAAATAGCGCCAACAACATCTTCAGCCAGCGGCAACCACCACGCCAGCTAGCGCCAACCACATCGGCAGCCAGCAGCTACAACATCGCCAGCCGCAACGCCCAAAGGCGTTCGCCCCCCGCGAATAACTTTGTAAAAACTTTGCGCAGTTCACTTAATATGTAAGCTTAACCAATAATTGTAAGATTTGTAGTTATATCGATACACATATAATTATCTTAGCTAAGCCCAAGCGATAAGTTCTGTTTATCTTTCTCCCTCCGTTCTCGCGTGAGCAGCGCTGCACTGGAGCAAGCGAGAGAGAACATGGGATCGAGGAGTAAAAGGGTATACTCGTAGAGTAAAAGGGTATACTAGATTCGTTGAAAAGTATGGAACAGATAGAAGGAAGCGTTTGCGACCCTATAAAGTATATATATTCTTGATCAGGATCAATAGCAAAGTCGATTGAGCCATGTCCGTCTGTCCGTCCGTCCGTCCGTATGAACGCTGAGATCTCAGGAACTATAACAGATACAAAGTTAAGATTTACCATGAAGATTCTTGAGGTCCCGGGACTGCGCAACTTTATTACAGCATCCTGCCACGCCCACTATAACTCCCACAAATAGCAAAAAACTAAAATTGCTAAAATCTCAGAAACTATTGGAGCTAGAAAGTTGAAATTCAGAAAGTATAATCTTTAAATGCCAGCGCATCTTATACTGGTTCTACTATCTAGCCACACTTACCCATACGCCCACAAAGCTCACAAGACGGTTTTCGTATTGCTAGAAAAGCTGATATCTCGGTAACTATAAGAGATAGAAAGTTCGCCTTCGGCACGTAGGTTTAAATGATGCTGCCAATGCGAATTGTTTTTCTCCGATCAAGCCGCGCCCAGTGTAACGCCCACAAAACCCGAAAAACCAAATATTCAAAAATCTCAAAAACTATAAGAGCTACAAAATTTTGCTTAGAAACACGTATTTAAGAGATGCGTCTGCAACTTACCACAAAGTTGCAGCCGGCCACGCCCATTCTAACGCCCACAAACCACGGAAAACTGTGGCGTCTATAATATTATTATGAATGCCTTCTTTTGACATTGTGTAACTTATTTTTGTTAATAACTATCGACTTACCAAAGATTTTTCAAAACGGAAAATTATTTCGCTATTTATAAAGAAATTAATGTTATAAGGCCTCACATGGGCAGTGACGTCATTATAAGCATACTCAACATACTTCCTCTGACAATAGGTGGCGCCTTGTAAATTTCGACTAGCAAAATAATATTTTAAAATTTTGTAAAACAGTAACGGGTATCTTATAGCCGCAGCACTCGACTATAGCGTTTCCTCTTGTTTTTTTACGTTCTGAGTGCGGAAAAGTTGTGGAAGAAAAAAAAAACTCCCAAAGAGAGTCGAGTGACTTGTGCCCAGTGACCCAGGAACCGACGATTTCTTTTTGGGAAGGAGTGTACCTGACGACCTCGAGGAGAGTGTGCCGGCCTAAGGCCAGCGGCGGAGCACCCGGATTCACGCGTGTGTGTGTGTGTGAGAGCGAGACGGGTGAGTGAGTGGAGTAAACCGCATTTTGGCCAGCGACAGAGTAGGCTAGAATTTATATACCATGACCTAACCGAACCCGTTAACCCGACTACACTGGGAAAACAAAATAAAGTAAAAGTATAAACTCGGGTTACAAATAAATTAATAAAATGCTCCAATAAATATATTTCCCGCCTAATTTTAATACAACTCGAAGGAAAGAATAAAAATCAAGCTGGCCACGCATAAATATGAATATTTCAAGACAAAAATGCCTTGATTTTAGACCATAAATTCTGCCCTAGGGAAAAGTTGTCTACATAATCGATCCTCTCTCTCTCGGCCTTCTCGTAGCGAATGTTATGAGCCAGGCTCAAATGCGCGTTACTGCTGACCCTTTTCTTTTTTTCCGCTCTGCAGCAGACACCGAATAAACTATTTCTCTCGCTCCTTATCCCGGTGGCTGGCACTCTATATCTCACGCCAGCCAACCTATTTTCGTCCTAGACCTTTTTGTCCCATATCTTTACAAATATTTTCGGTAAAGAGACCCTGGCGGGACTGAGTATATCCCAGCCAACGAGACTTCTTTACAGAATAGCGCCCGAACAGGGACATGGGGTATACGAAATTTTAGACGACCTAAATATGGCCTAAAGACCCATCTGGGTACATGGAGTTTGAAAAATTTTCGGTTCAGTCACTTGGAGACGAAATTTTTAAGTCGGAACGTAGGGCAGAAAACATGGAAATATATCTATATATATAAAAGAAAGTCGTGTTAGTTACACCACTTATAACTCAAGAAGGGCAGAACAGATTTGGCTGAAAATTGGTAGGGAGGTAGCTTAGAGCCAGGAGACGGACATAGAATACTTTTTATCCCGTTCGACAGCGTTCCTCTGTGACTTGACATGAAACGTCAGTCACTATAAAACGTGGTATAATAAAAAAGAATCAGACTTGGAATAACAAAATGCAAATGACAGCTATGTAATTGACGTAAAATGACAGCTATGTAATGACGTATGGATGACAATTTGATATTTGTAAGAAATCAATATTAAAACTATTTCTATTAAATAAATAATTAACAAGTGGATTGAAGTGAAGTGAAGTTTAATTTATAATGCCGCGACCAAGACGATCGAATCTTTCCCAACAAAGCCGTAATGCAAGAAGAATACAAAATACTGCAAATGAAAGGACTGAAGAAGAACAAGAAATTGCACGTGAACAGCGCCGCAATAGTATGGCTCGACTTTGTGCTTCTCAATCACGAGAGCAAAGTGAAGCAGCCCGTGAAACAGCTCGGTTGGCAATGCAGAATAGTCGAGCGAACAACAGAAGTCAACAAATAGATAATTTGCGATGCAGAACAAGATATTTAGCTGATTTGAATCGAGCTGCGTTTCGATACGATTGCAGCAATGATTACAGCCTGCATCCTAGCATTTGCATTGGGCAAATGGACGTTGTTTGCGAGTATTGTGGTGCATTAAAGTTTTCCGGAGAAACGCCTGGATTATGCTGCGTTAATGGTAAAGTGAAATTGCCAGTGTTGACTCCGCCACATGAGCCATTATATTCATTGCTTTGCGGCGAAACACAAGAATCACGCCCCTTTCTTGCAAATACTCGAAAATACAATAGTTGTTTCCAAATGACGTCATTTGGGGCAGACATTATCGAAGAAGGAGGTTTTAATCCGACATTTAAGGTATTTATTTTTGTACTTACATAGAATGTAGTTAAAGAATGACTTAGTTTATCTATTGGTATGTATTATACTACTCTCCTACAGAAAAAGTGTTTATAACCCAGTTAATACTGTCTGGTTTTTACAGACAGATTCACCATCGAATTGGATCATTACTACCTTTCGAAGATACACAGAATAAATTTTTACAAATATATTTCATGGGCAACATGGAAAAACAACTTCCGATACGTCTTGCATATGCCATGACAATCAACAATTCACAACCAATCCTTAAAAGTTTGTGGTTTAAATCTAGAACATTCATGTTTTTCCCATGGTCAATTATACGTGGCATGTTCACGGGTCGGAAGACCATCTGCGTTGTTTGTTTTTGCGCCTGATAATAAAACAAAAAATGACGTGTATCACAAGGTGCTTAAGTGAAGAGCAACCTATGTACTAAAATACAGAAATAATAATGAATGATTAATGTAGTTATTTAATTTTAAGGCGAAACAAAGTTAGCCGGGTCAGCTAGTATATATATATATATTTATAAAATATACCAGCGCATCAAACATAAAAAAAAAACTTAGAATTTCAACAGAGCACATGGCACATTCGGAAGAAGTTATACAAAAGTGTACCCACACACAACGAAAAATTTCTAACGCACGCAGACACACATACATTTATTTCTAGGTAGGAAAATCCTGCGCGGCTTTTTTCCTTCTTCAACCTAGTAACGTCCAATTGAAGACAAGGAGGATACTGCGGGCAAAGGCCCAAACTCCCTGCAGAACACACCAGTACTGAATTCCCCTGGCGGAGAAATGGGAGGCAGGGGACCAGGAGCACACACCTGGGCGCTAACCTAGGAGCTGGGCCAACCAATAACGGAGGCACGCCTGCAAACAAAGGCCTGCTGGAGCCGCCTAATACCGACGGCTTTCACACGCAGCCCAGTAACCCCCCTCCCCCTCCAGCAGCAGGAAAAGACAGCCGAAAAGCGGAAAAGGAACAGAAGGCACGGTAGCCCAAGGTGAGACCGCCACGGAACGAAGCGACAGTCATCGCAACCTCCACAGGTGGATCTCATGCGGATATCCCGAAAACAGTTAGGACAGAGCTTCAACTGAAGGAGCTAGGACAAGCTGTACAGGCCGTGAGGCGCACAGCTAAAGGGGAACTATTAATCCTACTAAACAAGGTCTCCGACCCTAAAACCGCCGAGCTCCAGACCACAATGAAAGCGGTCCTGCGTAGCAATGTCGACGTCAGGGCGCTAACTGAGACTGTCGTCTTGTGAAGTGCGGAGTTGCCTTCAACAGCTCCCCACGCGTAGGTTCGAAGAAAGGTGAACTTCAAAGCGTACGGAACGGAACGGAGCGGGCGGAGCGGTTTTATTCTGTAAATTCATTAAAACTAGCCTCACATTACAGAATCTTAATCTTACTCTTAACCTTACCGCAGTGTGCCCTCCTACAATTCACAAGATAATAATAAAGGCAATTTCCGGCGGCATTCACATAACCGCCATTAATAGGCCCGTACTTCAATGGGCCAAAAATCAGATAACTTAAAAAATACCAAATTTCCTATTAATACTAACTTAACTATCGGTAACAATGTTTTGACCGTCGACATCCCCGACCCCGTGAAGACCCGCTTCACTCAAATCTAAAACTGCAAGTTTAGTGACGGGCCGCAACATTGTCCAAGATAGTCCATTATCATTTACGCGCACAGTGGCGCGTCTGGCGACTCCATCAGCTCCGCTGTATACCTCCTCCACGATGCCCTTGCGCCACTCTCGTCTGGGCATCCATATCGCCCTGGCGGATGGGCTCCGTTCTTCGGCACCACTTTTCGCGGCCACAAGCGTAGGCAGGTACTCCATGACCCACCTCCTCCAGAAGCGGTCCCGCAGCATGCGGGCAATCCTCCACTGCTTTCGCGTAGAACCCTCCTTGGGCCGCTCCACATCCCGTCCGGGCCTATCCGGCCGGTTAGCTGCTCCCTTGAGCAGGTCGTTTGGCGTCAACGGCGCCTCTTGGTCCGGATCCAGTGGCAAGTGGGTGAGCGGACGCGAATTGACTATGTTTTCCGCCTCTATTAGGAGACTCTCCAAAACATGGTCCCTCGGCGCGACTTCCTTCAAGGTATGGCGCAGCACTCGCTTGACGCACTGCACCATCCGCTTCCATACTCCGCCCTCGGACGGGTCGGATGGGCAATTAAAGACCCATCCAATGCTCCTGCTGGATAACTCACCTTGTATCATTTCCGCCTCGAACACGTATCCAAATCGCCTGGCCTCCCTGTCAGCTCCCACGAAGTTCTTGCCGTTGTCACTCTGCAGTTTACGTACTGGTCCTCTACGGCAGACGAAGTTCCTGATCGCTATTATACAGGAATCCGTTGACAGGTCATGCGCCAGCTCCAGATGAATCGCCCTTGTCGTTAAGCATGTGAACAAGGCGACCCAACGCTTCTCTCTGTGACGAGCAACAGTCACCAGCAGTGGCCCAAAGTAGTCTAGTCCTGTGTACTTGAATGGCCATCCTCCAGCTTCCAAGCGATCCTCTGGAAAGGGTCCCATTATCGGCGGCATCGGCCGCGTCCCTTGCAACTTGCACTCGTTGCACGACGAGATTACCTCCTTCAGCACTCGTCTTATCTTCGTGACCCAGAATCTCGTCCGGATCTGGGCAATCGTCGCATCCACGTTTCTCCGTAAGACTGTGCCTGTGTGACAGAATCACAGGCCTCCTCGCACTGTACGGCATGGACAGCGCGGCATCGACTCTGCCATAAACTCGAAGAACTCCATATTTGTCCACGTAAGGCGCCAGACTTCGAATCTCGCTCGAGTTGGCGACGTCCTTTCCGCGTTCCGCCGACCTCATCTCGTCGGAAAACGACTCCAATTGGCCTGCCTGATTAACAGGTTCTCCGCGGCCTCACACTCCTTTGCAGTGAGTCCATATTCCTCGAGCTCGCTTCTCTGTTTGCGGCACCGTCGCGCAAACCTCAGGACCCAGGCTGTGGTCCTCACCAGGCGACTGAAGCTCGAGAATCTCTGGAACAGGATGACAAATTCATTCGATGCTACCAATTCGAACTCACCGGGCCTCTCCTCTTCATCAGGTGCATCTGGAACATGCTCGGTTCCCTCCTCAGGCGTTGGTCAACCGCTTGCTGGCTGCCTCAAAAATGCGGGACCGCTTAGCAACCGGGATTCCGGGCTAAGGTTCGCCTTGCTCTGCGACCGCGTCGCATCATCCGCTGCGTTGTCAGCTGTAGGTACCCATCTCCACTGGGAAACCTTCGACGACTCCAAAATCTCCGCCACTCGGTTGCCAACAAACTGCTTATACCGGCGGTGGGTGCTGCCAATCCATTTCAGCACCGTTTTTGAATCCGTCCATAAAACCGTCTTGCTGATGTCCACACTGTGTTCTTTCTTGACAGTGTTCATCACTCTGGTTCCAATCATCAGGCAGCACAGGAACCCCAATGGGTCGAACGTTGACATCAGCTGGCTCAAAAACTCCCTCTTTGTTGCGACTCGCTCTCCACTTAGGACGCTTTTTGGCACTCGATGATACTCCACGTTGATTCTGAAGTCATCCGTTGCTACCTGCCAACGCATTCCAAGAGAGTCAGACTCACCCCATCCGACGCTCCTAACTTGTCCAGGTGGTCCCAACGCCGCTTCCACGATGGGTGAGCTGGATGAGAACTTTCATAGCTCGAATCCAGAATCCGCGTGTATCTCCTTCACTCGGGTAGATACCTCAATAGCTTCGCTCTCCGTATCGAAACTATCCACGTAGTCATCGACGTAATGGTGGTCGATGATGGCCTTGACTGCCCTCGGATCTGAATCCCGAAACTTCAGGGCATTCACCGTCTTGACGTAGTGTGCAGTGCTCGGCGAGCAGGCTGCTCCAAACGTCATTACGTTCATCTCGTACACATCTGGGTCTCGATCATCGTTACCAATCGTTGGGAACATCGGTCCTCGGGTCGGATCAGCACTTGGTGGAACATCTCCTTGATGTCCCCGCAGACTCCGACTGCTCCTTCTCTGAAGTGGAAGAGCACAGCTGGCAAGGGCTTGTAGTGCTGTGGCCCCTTGTTCAGCGCCGAATTGAGTGAGGTTCCTCCAACCTTGGCTGCAGCATCGAACACAAGCCGGACCATACCGGGCTTGTTTGGGTTTTCCACACAAAAATGTGGCAAATATCACAGCTTGTCGCTCTTCACCGAGACCTCATCCGGCTGCAGCTTCCTTGCATATCCTTTGGAAACGTAATCCTTGATGATACGGTCGTATTCCAGAGCCAACTGCCCGTTGCGCTTCAACTTCTTCTCGATGTAGCTCCGTGGCAGCACAGCGTGGTCGTCCTTCCAGAGCAATCCCGTCTGGTAGCGACGCCCCACTTTCACCGTGGTGTCCTCGAGGATCTTTTGGGCCCTGGCTGCGACCGGTGGCGCGAGCTTTACACCAAAGCTTTCAATGTCGAAGTAGTCCTCCATCATCTTTTCCATCGTGTCGTCCATTGACACGGCTAGAAGGCAGGACCTCGGTGACGGCGTAGTTGACTGTCCACTTACTGGCCCGAACACAACCCACCCAAGCTCGGTTGCGGCCGCATACGGTCCCTCTCTGGCAAACCGCCTCGTCCTAAGTGGCAATCCTAGATGACCATGGTCCAGTCCGATTAGCAACTTCGGCACCACGTTGCTGTAGGGCTTCATCGGCAGTCGCGAATCCCTTTGCACGCCCTGGACATCTCGTCGACTTAACGTTTGCATCGGCAGACTCAAGTTTGAAACAGCGTACACGTTCCTCAACGGGTGGCGAGTGGGCTTCCCAGCTCCACTTATCTCCAGACTCACCACGTTGGTAGGCTACCTGCTGGCTCTTCCTCCAAACCATTGGATGTTCAGCTGTCGATGTTCGCCTTGCAATCCCAGATCCCTCCGTAGCTCGTTGTCGATCATCGTTACGGAGGATCCTTCATCTAACAGCGCGTATGTGTCCACCTGGCGACCAGCTCCGTACAGCGTTACTGGCAGTATCCGGAAGAAAAGTCGGCCTCCTTCGACGTCAATACTTAAATAAGTCTGCACGGGCGCCTCCGCTGGCTGAGGGGCCCTTCTCTCCAGGTTGTCTCTGAGAACAGCCGGCTGCTGGCTCCTCTCGTGGTCCCTGTAACCACCTCGTGGTGAAGACCTCCTTTCCGGTCTTCGTCTGGAAACAGATGACGTCTGGTTTCCTCCGTTGTGGCGCCTGAAGCCACCTCGCTGTTCCGGCCTTCTTCGCCTTTCGTCTTCTTCATGTAGCAGACGGTGATGCAATCTGCGGCATCCGTTAATCTGGCACTCGCCATGCACATCGCAGGATCTGGTCGTATGCCCACTTCGTAAGCATGTGAAGCAGAGCCGATGCCTCTTCACCATGCTCCACGTGCCTGGTGGCGAAGCTTCGATGAACTCCCTGCAGTTCGTCGTGGCATGTTGCCCTCCACAAATTGGACAACCTCTATGCCGGTCATCCCGCTGCTCGTATCCGTCCTGGCCGACGCTCGCGTGTAGAACTCGACGCCTCGGCTCCTTTCCCTCGACGTCCAAAATCGTACACCCGATGTGAATCAGCAGCGACTTCACTGTCTCGCGTGCTTGATCTTTCAGCGCCTTCAACAGCCTCTGGTTGTTCTCCAGGTCCGTGCAGTTGTACGCTTGGGTCGTCTCCTCAAATGCACAATTAAAGATGGGCCAATCCTCGGGCTGCCCTCCAAATATAGGCAAGTCCGGGAGCTCCTTGGTTCCAATCGGTGTCATCGAGGCGTAGGATCCCACATATGGCGATGCAGTTGCCACGTTGTGGATGGTCCCGCCCGGTAGCACGAATCCATCCGCTGTCTGCGCAGCACGTGTAGCACACAGTGGGTTGCTAGTCGTTACTGTTGGCGCCATTTGCGCTTGGGCCAACTGCGATTGGCGCGCAATGGGCGGTGCTCGTTGTGTTCATGGATCTAACCTGCTTCAGCTCATTATACAACGCCGAGATCCTATCCAAAAGGTACGCCGTGGATGGCTGGCCCACCTCCGGCTCTGAGCTCGCAGCTGCTGTTACAGTACTCCTTGGTTGGCTACTGTAGTCGCTGTAGTGGCTGGGCGAGAAATGGCCGCCGCCGTGGTTATGTTAACCCCTGGCCGGTTTTCTGCTGCACTAATCGCTGGCTGCTGCGTTGTTGTTCCCCTCCGTTCAGCCGGGAACTCCTCCTGGGGGAACGCTGCATCTCGAAATAGATATGGTCAAAATATGGCGCTGCCCTAGCGCTCCAAAATGGCGGACCTGTGCCGTCTGGCTGCTGCCGCTGATGCTCGGCGCACCTTGCGCCTCCTGACCTGACGCTGGCTGCGTCACCTGAACTCACGCTGGCTGCGTCTCCTGAACTGACGCTGGCTGCGTCTCCGTGTCGCTGGCTGCGACTCCGTCCGTACTCAGTGTTTGGCGCTCCTCGCGCCGTCTATGTCGCTGGCTGCGACTCCTCTGCTGGTACGGGAAATGCGCTCCGTGCGCTCCTGGCAACTCTCTAGCTGGTCGTCAAGCCGTCCTCCAGCGCAAGTTGCCCTTGCAGTCTCCCTAGGACTGCGAATAAAAGATGTGGTCTTGTGAAGTGCGGAGTTGCCTTCAACAGCTCCCCACGCGTAGGTTCGAAGAAAGGTGAACTTCAAAGCGTACGGAACGGAACGGAACGGAGCGGAGCGGTTTTATTCTGTAAATTCATTAAAACTTAACTACAGAATCTTAATCTTACTCTTAACCTTACCGCAGTGTGCCCTCCTACAATTCACAAGATAATGAATAAGGCAATTTCCGGCGGCATTCACATAACCGCCATTAATAAGCCCGTACTTCAATGGGCCAAAAATCAAATAACTTAAAAAATACTAAATTTCCTATTAATACTAACTTAACTATCGGTAACAATGTTTTGACCGTCGACAGAGACAATGCTGATCGACGTGAAAGACATCGATAGACGAGAATGCTGACATAGACGAGATCACCGACAAGACGGACGTCTTATGCGTGGTTAAATCCCAGTTTAATGTGGAACTGCCAGAATCCGCGGTGGTAGGATTAAGGGCGGCATACGGAGGCACCCAAACCGATCAAGCCGCGCCCACTCTAACGCCCACAAACCGCGGAAAACCGTGGCGTCTATAATATTATTATGAATGCCTTCTTTTGACATTGTGTAACTTATTTTTGTTAATAACTATCGATTTACCATAGATTTTTCAAATCGGAACATTATTTCGCTATTTATGAAGAAATTAATGTTATAAGGCCTCATATGGGCAGTGACGTCACTATAAGCATACTCAACATACTTCCTCTGACAATAGGTGGCGCCTTGCTAAATTCGACTAGCAAAATAATATGTTAAAATTTTGTAAAACAGTAACGGGTATCTTTTAGCCGCAGCACTCGACTATAGCGTTTCCTCTTGTTTTTTTGCGTTCTGAGTGCAAGTTGTGGAAGAGTGAAACGTTGTGGAAGAAAAAAAAACCCCCGTTAACCCGACAACACTGGGAAAACAAAATAAAGTAAAAGTAGAAACTCGGGTTTCAAATAAATCAATAAAATGCTCCAATAAATATATTTCTCGCCAAATTTTAATACAACTCGAAGGAAAGAATATAAATCAAGCTGGCCACGCATAAATATGAATATTTCAAGACAAAAATGCCCTGATTTTAGACCATAAATTCTGCCCTAGGGAAAAGTTGTCTCCATGATCGATCCTCTCTCTCTCGGCCTTCTCGTAGCGAATGTTATGAGCCAGGCTCAAATGCGCGTTACTGCTGACCCTTTTCTTTTTTT